CGAACTCGAACCTCTCTCCATCGCTTTACACATTGAGGGTGTAGACTGTTTGTCACTTTCTGGACGAGCACGATATTTCTGCTTAACTGTCCTGAGTGCAGCGATTTCTGTCATTCAGTCGTTCCAAATACTGCCAAATCCCTTCAACTCCAGTAGCTATAGCTGCTATACCTCACCTCTCTGTTATGGTCAGCCCTCCATTCTCTCTTCGTTACAGCTATTACATCATTGACTAACGATCTCCAAAATCTTCAAATAACTCTTCCATCGAAAAAATATTGAAAAGTGTCACCACGTCAGCTATCCAAAGTCAGCTATCCAAAAGCAAGAGAACCCACCATTCTCGGCCCATGATAAGACGAAGCAGAAGAAGAAAAGCAACCCCATCTCCAACCCCAACCCAATCACCAAACAAGAAAAGAAACCCGCCACCGCTCTAAACCCAAAAATAAAACAAGGAAGACCTTCCATCTTCGCTCCCAAAGTCCCTACGAAACAAGCCCGGAGAGGGGAATGAGATGGTGCATGTGGATGAGGAAGAGGCTGAGATGGTTGCGGAGTTGAAAGAGGAGGAGGAGAGGGGAAGGAGCAGATGGTTTGATAGATGAGTAGGAAGTTGGTCATGGAAAGGTTGGTGGACCTGAGGCTCCAATATATATGATGCATATCACCAGTCTCTGCGTCGGATTCAGTATGCACACGTTTCAGAAACCATCATTGCATTTCTTCTTGCCACAACCTTGCCTTGATGAAGATCCTTGTCCGACTGCTCTTCGATGGCTGGCCGCGAAGTGAAGATAGGCTGATCGGTGGAAATTGCCGTGGAATAACAATTTTACGTATCGATCAAAAAGCCACCAATTATTACTTACGCAAGTAGACGCTTTGTGTCAACAGGTAAGCTCATGTTCAATGTCGATAACGCAGAGCGGAACAAAGTGAAGCGACGTTGGTGCACGTGAATTTCGCATGCCGTGTTCCCATCTTGAGCCATAAGAATCTGGACCAAATAGCGCATGTTCTCAACGATGTGATGGTTTTGGTTTATCGCTCTAGACGAGCTCTCGATCTTTGTTATGACCAAGGTAAGAAAGCGCCGAATCTTCATCTGTGCCATTCTGATATTGTGAAAAGTCTGCGGGGTGTGGCTACATCATGTCGATTGATTAGCCACAGACCTTAGACTGCTATTGTCTTTGACTTGGTGATGCGGCCGTCCGGTGCTAGGACCGTGGTGGGCAGTGAAGCGACACTACCGATTCCAGCAAGTTCTTCACCACGGTCGAGATAAATGTACCGACTGTAAATATAAGTCATACTTGACGTAGATCTCGTAGGAATTGTGGATTCTCAGTTGAAGGACTGCAAAACCGATTCCATCAATAGCAGGTCGAAGAGACAACTTTAAGCCTGGACACCAGGAGCGTGCGGCTTTGGGAAAATGTTAAGGTCTCATCATGCTATAGCAGGAGGTCGCACGTACTGAGGAGCAAAATGCGCACCGTATGTGATGCTCGAGACAAAGGCTACTGTCTGCGAGATGGCTGATTGACGCTCGAGCCATACAGCAAAGGTATGCTGTAGTCTTGATCATGCATTTGAGCGCCAGGTATATGGGGCTCGATTCAATGCTGACTCTTCCAATCCCTCTCATTTCAATATTTCAGCTGCTGTGAGTGGATGCCAGCTTGAAAGTTGTGTGTTTGCTCACACCATCAACACGGAAATTCCAGGCCATCGGCTCGATCCAGTATTCGAATAACCAGTCCGATCAATTCGCAAGAGAACATAGTCCTAGAATGCGGAGAGATGCAGATTCAGTCCCAAAATTTCCCGATACTTCAACCTTTCATCCTCCTCGCCAGCTGCAACGCATTCACGCTTGCCCCGACAGCTCGAAAGTAATACCTCGTCTGCACGTCAACTTTCCCTCTGACTTGCATCCCAGCCAAGACCTCCAGAGCCAGGACTTCATCTTGCGATAACGGAATTTGAGCGGCGCGACGTTTTGCCGTCACTAGGACGTGGAGAATCGCAAGTCTTCGTCCCCGATCAAGAGACTGGACCAGCGCCGACAAGCGGTCTTGAAGCAAAGAGGTGTTTTGGTCGTTACTAGGGAGGTAGATGTTGATTTGTAAATGTCTCAGGCGTCTCATCAGGTCCGGGTATTCCCAAGGAAGACAATTCGGGATCGTGTAGGCATAATTTTTGGGCGAGGCTTGGCGAAGTTTTCCAGTTGAGGCAGGACAGGTCGGATAAGTTGAGGGATCGGATCTCGATTTGTTTTCCACGTCGATCACCCAAAGGAAGTCATTGACCTTCAGTGGACGAGATCGTGTCAGTATGATATGCTTCGTGGCCAAGTCTTTGCAATCTCTCACCTCGTAGAACGCTTGGACTGCCTCAGTTCTCAAACTCCTACACGTTTGAAACAAAGGTTGATCGAATACTTGGAGGCTGGCCCAGACTGGGTACTGGAGTTCAATGCTACCTTTTTGTTTTAGGGCATGAATCAAGATTCTATGCCGTAACTCAAATGGGAGGTTCAACAGGTGTGAAACCGGAGGATTGCGATGGTTTCGGCTGGTGGGTAGGAAAGCCTGGTTGAAGTATTCTGGGTCCATTGCTGAAGATCGACCTGGTTGTTCCTGTGTCGTGTGATCTTACAAGACGGCCTGATCTGAGAGGGTATCCCAGGTAGAGACGTTGATATCAGCGATGGGTCATCTATCTCGGACCGACCGGAATGTGGTGGAGCCTCGCTTAGTTGGCCGCAGAGGTGACGTTGCTGGGACGACGGAATGATTGCCTGATTTGGAAATTGGTGATGAAGTGTTTTCGGGCTGTTCTAAGTGAGATCTGAATCATCTGATGATGTGAGACACGAGACAACGAAATCGAGGAGAAGTCTCTACTAAGCTTACGGAGTATTCGATCATTTGCAAGCGACGAGTAAGAGATTCGCAGCTCGTCATATGAACGGACGGTGTTGCGGACAGTGGCGGAAGATGGGCTGGCCCAGTTCTGGACTTCGGCCGTGGTCATGGCTCTGGACCTTTCATATCAACAAAAGGTCTGCAGGGAACAACGTGGCCTAGCTGCTCGCAATCAGGAAGAATATGGAACATCTGCCCAAGCAGTGATTTTTGGCGGGCGACGCTCCGTTACAACCTGTCAAAACCATGGCCGTTCGGACTGGCGATAGGGGAGGGTTATACACCATAACAGGCATTGTCGTCAACCATTTCCAGTGTTTGAGGCTGGTTTAATGCCGCTGCCATAAAGATCGAGGCGTTCCAATTATGCTGAAGGTGGCACCTGCCTCGGGTTCACACCAATGTGGACGACGTTCCTACTTAGCATTGAGGCTGTCTATCTTGCCGGACAAGTATCGTGGAGGAGAAGAAAGCAACGCCGTTACGGGTGTGCCAGGGGCCGGCATCGGGGAGATGACTTGAAACATGTCGTGGCGTTGGATCGGCAGCATTTTATCAGCAAAGCGGTGTAGTAGCACCTTGTCCAAAAACAATGCAGACCCACCGGCCATGGTTTGCGCAGGAACAGGGAGTTCGCATTGATGGCTTGCCGCTTGGTCTGTCCGTTTAGACCCCGGTCGCCAATCCGATGTGGCGTAGTGTAACTTGTTGGCGTCAATAATATTCTCCAACCATGCTGTGAATTGATTGTTCGGGCCGTGTAAACAGAGTACTCGTGCGGAGGGTGTAGCAAGAACAAGCATAGTATTATCATCTTGTCCGGTGACACGAGCACCGGTCCAGGAAACATAACATGCAACCAGCAAGGACGCGGCACGGCGCGTGCTCACATCGCTTTTGTCCATGCCACGAAGCTCTTGCCCTGCTTTGGCACCGCAGGCCGGTGCTGAGGTTGAGGGCTCTTAAGGCATGTACTATCGTCCGGCCATGCTCCTGCAGCATGGCACTGGGCAGAGAATTGCGGTGAGCGAAAAGGGTAGATTCCCAGCAGTTCTTTCCAAAATCTAGGATTCGCTGTGCTGCTGCGGTCAGCCTCCGTTAGTCATGCGGGAACTGCATGTGCAAGCCAATGTGCCTGTTATGGGCTGCATCGAAGAGAATCATATTAATGCCGGCCGTCACAGCAATTGCTTCGTGAGGCAAGACTCCGGAGAGCCCAATTGGGGTGTGTATACTTCGAGGTCGGATATTCCATTCCTGTAGGTTTCTACTATACCTGTATAGAATATCCTACTCGTATACCTCAATTTCCGACTATAATCGTAGGAATAGGATATCTTCCACTGCGCACAGGCCTACGGTCGCGGTTTGCCGTATTTGGAAGGTGATAAGGCCTAAAAGTCGGAATAGTTTATACCTACTTAAAATCGAGGATTTAACTACTAATAATAGCAGTAGCTAAGGAAGACCGTGTTATAGTCGCGTTGTAGATTTCGAGTATTGTCGTCGGCGCGCGTGCTAGTCCATTTTACATACTCTAAGCTCTTTATTAATTATTATAGATAATCTAGCCTTTCTTGCTCTTATTATTAGCGCTGTTACTAGCGCTACGATTACTATCTCCGCGGCAATCGGACAGTCGCGCGCTCGCACTCGGAAACGGTAGTATAGACTAGCTAGTGTAGTTTAGACGTTAACGGAGCCGACGAGAGGCAGGAGGGAGGTGTTCCGGTATACGGATAGTCTAGAAGAATATTGCTATTCTACGACTAGCTTGCGGTAAGAGGTGTTAAAGGACCTAGTTAAGAAGCTTATAGAGAGTAGTTTAAAGGACGATAGCGCGGTATCGGCGACCGAGAAGGTAATAATCTTCTACGACTTCTTAAGGCATAATGCCTTAATTAGGAGCCTGCGAAGGATATATTAGCACTTATTCAAGACCTTTACACGTATAATAAAGGAGGTTAGCAAGCTCTTCTGTCGGCTATAGGATAAATATATACAGATGCCGCGCGCGGACGAGTTGCTATACGAGAAGTTAATAAGCTTCAAATCTAGCGAAGAACCTAGCAAATTTAACTACTTCTATAGCGCTCTCGGAGCCCTCGATAGCAGCTATATTCCTATAACATTGTTAGTAGAAGATCAGTCCTTATAGTGCAACCGTAAAGGGTGGATATCTACTAACGTAATAGCGGCATATAGATTCGATATAAAGGTGCACTATATCTTAGTCGGTTACGAAGGGTTAGCAGCGGACACCACTATATACGATCGTATAGTAAGACAAGGCTTCGACGTACCTAATAGTCGCTATTATCTTGCTAACGCTAGATACTCGTTCAATAAGAAGCGACTGTTAGTATTATACTAGTCGACAAGATATTACCTCTAAGAATAGATCAAGTCTTAATTGCGGCCGGAGACTAAGGAAGAGCTATATAACCTCCGCTACGCGCAACTTCGCAACGTTATCGAGCGACTCTTCGGCGTGCTAAAGAAGCGGTTCAAAATATTAGCCGAGGGCGCTTATAGTAGTTATTCGCTTATTACGCAACTAAGATTTATCACCGCCTACTTTATCCTTCACAACTATATTGTTAGCTATGGATCTTAGCTATTATCCGAAGAAACACACCTATTTGACGACCTTAACGACTTCGACGACGCGCCGTATAATAAGGACGAGTATAAGGACTTACTAGACCTAGAAGACGACGATATAAGTAATAAAGGCAACGGCAACGAAGGATGGCAGCTTAGAGATAATATCTCGGTTGGAATGTAGTTGAGTTACTTGCGTTATCTCGAGATGTATAGACTAGATATGCGTAGAGCTTAGGAGAAGGCGGAAGAGTAGGTAGAAGGGCGTAGGATACCTAGTCGTACTCGACTTAGGACTAGAGGGCTGTTTTTAGTAGGGTTTCCTTTACTTCTTCCCTTAGTTAGCTATTAACCGTATACTATTAACTCTACGGTGCCTCTCGAGTTCTCAAATAGGCATCTACGTGCGCAGTTAACGTTACTAGTATAGAGGCTTAGCGGGGTAAAGTTTAGGAAGTAAAGAGGATAGACTTTATATTTTATATAATAACCAGTTACGTAAAGTTCGTTAATATATAGTCGATTGCTAACAAATGTGAATCAATTACAACCCCTATAACATTATAGGTACAACTACTGCACTCTTCTACCTCCTATCTACGAAATATTAGCTCGGACTCGGAAAGCTAACCTCGACTTTAGCTTATTTCTTTAACTATAACTAACACCTTTATTATCCTTCTATCTATCTAATGCTAGCTATTATGCTGCGGCGGATAGTCGCTAATAAGTTGAGGCCGTATCTATTACTGTCGCGCCTATTCTTCGCGCGCCTATTGAGCCTACTAAGCCTGCTTAATCCGAGCGAGAAGGGCGGCAAAATACTTCGAGAACAGCTCGTTCTTCTCGCTATCCTAGAGCTATCCAACAGTTAGCTAAGCGTGCTTAACTAGACTATTCTTATTGCCAACCTCGCTAAGTATAAGCATCTTATCCTTAAAGGACATATTTAGTAGGACGTCGTTGTCTATAAGGCGATTGCTAACCTAAGAGATAGTACTGCCTATAGCTAGCTTCTCGACTAACTTCACTAAATTGGCTATTATCTGCTAGAATAGCAATATAGCCTTCTTTACGGACTGTTTAAAGCCCTTCGAGTAAGTTAAATCTTCCTTCTTCTTCGCAGTTGCCTTCTACTTCTTTTACTTATTCTTTTTAGCATTCCGAGCGGCAAGAATAGTCTGTCGCTCGTGCTCCGACAACTCGTCTATATTAACCTCTTCCGCTTCTTCCTCGTCCTTATTATTATCCTTAGATTCTTCTGCGCCTTCGTCGCTATCGACTTCGCTACCTTTACTACCTTTACTACCTTTATTACCGCCTTTACTACCGTTAGAGTCCGCATCGGCGAGTCGATTGCTACTTATCGTATTGTCGCTAGTCGCAACGTCTCTTCTATATATCTCTTCTAACTCTATCGCAAACTCCGGCGCCGCTTTCTCGAAGGCCTAACACTCTTCGTTATTGTCGAAGTAAGCGCGCGCAATCTCCTTACTCTCCGGCCTCGGTAGATAATTAGCGCTCTACCTACTAATATGCTTTAGGTGCCTCGTATACGGCCTAAATTCCTTCTTCAGCTTACGCTATTTACCCTTAAGCGAGTCCTATTTAAAGAATACCTTATACTTTAACGATATAAGCGTAGCGAGCGCGCGCTATTTAGTAGCCTTAAAGGTTTGGTTATCGGTCATTTTGCCCTAATCCTTAAGCTTCTTTAGTCTAACCAGCATTGCTTTAACGTATATTGACTTATAGCGCGATATTCTCGGAAACTGCGACCCTACAACCTCCTTCTTCTTGCTCCTCCGCGCCGGGGTCTTCTCGTTCGTATTCGAGGCCGTTTTACCTACGCTAGGTTTCTTCGTAGGGGTTTTGGCTATACTAGACACTAGGCAATCGGACAAGAGTTGGAATAAATGGTATATAGTAGCAAGGGCTCGAGAAACACGTATAGGAATGGTAGGAGACGCGTCCGCGCTATAGTTTAGGATTGGAACCGAGGGCCGACTTTTAAGAGCACGGACGATTCGATAAACCCACTCGTATACCTACAAAACGGCACTTTTTAGAAATTCCGACTGCTCGGATATTCTATTCTACGTTCCTATCGAAATCCTCGAATCCCCGGCGAAGTATACGCACCGCAATGGGATGTAGCCTACGCCAGCTCGCTTGGATTCGAATGTGCCGTTGAACTCTAATGCTGAACGTTTTCTCGGCCCGGAGGATGTCTGGTGACGAGGTGGATCGTGTGCGTGCTTCTTGCACGCTCGGAGGAGGCATATTGAGTGCAAATATCGGTGACGACGCATGTCTTACCGTACGCACTTGGGCCTCAGGTGGCAGTCACGATTCTGATGACTACGCGAAGGCCAAGTGCTCGATCTCGTCATTAGTTGCACTGCAGCGATAAGCCTGCTCATGTGTGTCTAAAGAAGACAGGTCCATGTATACTGACTCAGAATGCGAGGGTAGTAATCCGCTACGGCGGCTAGGTTTGTAGCGGCGGTATGTCCACTTCTATAGTTGTTTATAGGCTATAGATAGACCGCTAGAAGGTCTAGTTCTGAGCCAATTTAAAGCTATGTAATTGTATAGTATAGGCCTATTAATAAGGAGTTATAATAAAGCTAAACTAGACCTTATCTAGTAGCTATTTCTATCTCTTATTTATCGACCTATTCTATCTCTTCCTTATAGTTATATACCGCGCTTGTTTTAACCTTAGTCGCTATAAATACTAGTTAGGCGTATAGATAAGCGGCTTTAAATATAATAAATATCGAGCTTTTACTACTAATATTTAGCTTCTAAAGAGTCGACTAGTAAAGCTATTTATAGATCTAGTAAAGCGGCTATTTCGTAAGGTAAAGCTCGAGTATCGCCTTTATAGGCGGTTTATAGACTATTAGCGAGTAGAAATCGATAGAGGTAGTTATAGTAGTAGAGCGAGTAGTCGATAGTAGAAGCGTATCGCTTAGAAGGTATACGATTACCCTATAGAATTAACGATTATCGAGTTCTATAAGAAGGATTAGAATAGCGATTTAGGAGTATTTCTCGATAATATAGTACTAGCGTACTTACCTACGGATATAACGGTACTAAGGCACTTATATATTATCCTACTACCGCTAAAGGATAGCTATTCGTATACTCTCGAGTTTATTAATAGAATATAGGTTAATAGAAGTATAGAAGCTTTTAAAAGGAAATACTTAAATTTCGAGTAGGTAAGTATAGTCTTAGGCTCTTAGCGGCTTATATAGATAGATAGATAGATATTTTATTTGCCTATTGTAGTGCCTTTCGGCCTATGCAGGTCTGTTTCTATGTATTGTTTTAGGTAGGAAACTAACTTAGTTAGTAAAAACCTCCCTCCTGTCCTATTTATAAGTGTTAATCTTCTTTATTTCCTTATTCTCCTTCCTCTAGGGTATACTAGTGTTATAGTTGTTACCCTCTAACTACCTTGCCTACTGCCCTGCCCTTCTTTCCCCCTCTTCTTCCCTCCTTCTTATCTACTCTTCGGTTTCCCTTGCTAGTGCGAATTGTTATATAAATCCCTATTTAATAATCCACTTTACTATCCTCTTTAGGTCTTCTTTACTCTAGATTAGTTTGTCGTATTCCCTTTCTATTGCTTTTAGTCTCTAATTACTTCTACCTTCTAACTATTAAGGGTAGACTAGTAGTATATACTTAGGGTTCTAAGATTGGTAGCTATATTAGTAAGCCCTGCTTTCAATTCCTAGGACGCTTCTTCTAAATAGGTAAGATCTGAATCTAATGTGTTTAGATCTAATTTAGATAGCTAGGCTTGCCTCGGCCCTATTTAGGTCCTTATAGAGCTAGTAGTTATATTAACCAAATTTGATTAGTGCCTTTAGGGTTCCTAGTCTAACTTATGTTTTGTTCTATTCCTGCTCCTATAGGTGTTTAGTAATTGATTCTGCTAGGCTTTATTTCTCTCCCTTTAGTTTGTCTTCCTTTAGCCTTATATTTAGTCCCTAAAGCTCTTTCTCTAGCATTTCTCTTATTAAGACTCTATATTGCTCTAGGTCTTTAACTTTCTAGGGAGTTATTTGTAGTCTGTCTCGCCTCCTAGTCCTAATATACTAGGCTTTTATCTTGTCTAGTACCTTTTAGATAGTCTATTAGGCTAGGTATTCTATTGTCTTTGCTATATATTAGTGTTTTAGTCCCTTGAAGTATTGTTTGACTAGTAGGACCCCTGATTCTATTTCTACTACCCTTATTAGTATAGTTTTATATGCTCTTAGGATTTTCTTTAGGCTTTAGGTTTGGGACCTACTAACTAGTTATTTAATCCTCTTTAGTGTTTTCTCCTAGGCTGTCTATATCTGTGCTCTATATAGTATTGCTAGCTTAACAATTGCTTTGTATATAACTTTAGCTTTCTCGAATATAGCCCCCTATATAGAGGCTATAAGCCTATTAATGGATTGTATATTAGTATCTGCCCTCTGCTTTGCCTTCTTTACTTATAGTCCCTAATTCAGTTTTGGATCTAGCTAGATCCCTAGTACCCTAAGCTCTGCTAATAGTTGGGTTTTAAAGCCTTAGATAGTAATTAATTGCTTTATATTGTAGGTTGATTTAGCCTTACTAAAGTAGATAAGCTAGTACTTTTCTAGGGCGAATTTTGCTCTATGCCTCCTTACCTATTTTTCATACTCCTAGTGCTTCTCTTCTAGGATCTTATAGTTGGTTTCTGTTGTCTTAGACTAGGCTAGGATATTCGTGTTATCTACAAACCCTAATACTAATGTGTTTTTTAATTCTAGGAGTAGGAGTAGGTCTGCTATAAAGATAAGGAAGAGGATTAGGGAGAGTATTAATCCTTAGGGGATTCCCTTTTCAGTTAGTATTAGGTCTAATTTGAATTTGCCTAGAATAAGCTATATTAATCTTTCCTATAGGAAGGACTAGATAAATTGGACTATCCAGTTTAGTATAGCTTTCTATTTAAGTATATATAGGAGCCTTTTATAGGAGACATTGTTAAAGGCTCCTAAGATATTAAGGGAGAGGAGGGTTACTACCTAGTTTTGACTATAGTACTAGATATACTTGATCTATTCTGTAATTAGTTCTATAGCTGTTAGTATTAACCTCTTCTTTCTTCCTCCTATCTAGCTTTTAGGAAGGATATTCCTTTCCTCGGTAAAGGTTATTAGCCTTTTAGCGACAATTTTTTCTAGCACCTTGCCTATTATATTAAGTAGGGCTATTGGTCTATAGGCCTTAAGCTATGTATAGTCTTCCTTCTAGGGCTTCCTTAGTACTACTGTTAGGGACTTCCTAAATAGTCTTAGGTAGTGTCCTAGTGCTAGGCTTTATAAAAAGATATTAGCTAGTACTAGGGCTAGCCCCTTCCTATATGCTTTTAGAAGTTTGTTGTAGATCTTGTCTTCTCCTAGTACTTTATTGCCTAGAATTTTCTTTAGGATCCTTTTAATAGTTTCGGGTTTAACCTAGGTGTCTCTTAGTATGCCTAGTAGTAGAGTCTCTTGTTCTATCTCCCTTATGTCTAATAGGTCTGCTTGTACTTTTCTATAGAAGAAGTGTTAGCCTAGGGCTCTTACTTTCCCTTCTATTATAGTCTGTATTTGTCCTTGTTAGTCTATAATGTCCGGGAATTGTAGTAGTATATCCTTATCCTGTTTAGGTCTCCTTGCCTATTTAGCTATCCTCTATATCTCCTCTAGTTTTTTTGTAATTATTCCTATTATAGATCTCTATTCTTATATCTTGTCTTTCTTAATCTAGATCTTCTTTTCCTAGTAGGCTTTGTTATAGATGTCCTATGCTTCCTAGGTATAGGTTTATGTCTACTACCTCCTAGCCTTCTTTACTACTTTAACCTTCCTTATATACTTACTAGTCTAGTATAGTTGCTAGTATAGTAAATGTTTCTTTGCTAGGGTATGCTTTCTAGCTACCTATTTTAGGATTCCTATTAGTTCTTCTACTACTTTGTTAATGTCCTCTAGCCTTAGTAGGTGCTTTGTTAAGAGTTCCTCTAGTTTTAGGTCCCTTTCTAGTTCCTCCCTAATCCTGCCCTATTAGGCACCCTTCTAGTTAAGCTTCTCCTCTAGTTCCCTTTCCTAATTGGCTTAGACATTTAGCTTAATCTGTACCGGGAAGTAGTCTAATAATTCTTCTAGTTCCTAGTTAATCCTATATCTTGTAATCCTATTCCTAATCTAATATAATACAAAGCATAGGTCTAGTGTGCTGCTGCTTCCTCTTGCCTCCTAAGTAATTAGTCCCTTTAGGGTAACAATTTCCATTTCTTCCCTCTCTAATATATTAATTAGTCTTCCTGCTAGGAAGTAGTAAGCTAGGGTAAAGTCTAAGCCCTAGAGGGGGTAGTAGAGGTTGAAATCCCTAAGTAGGATTTAGTAGGTATTCCCCTAGATAACTCTAGGTAGTCTTTCTAGGGTTTTTAGTTAGGTACTGCTTCTTAAGTCTAGTAGTAGGTTGTATATATAGTAGACTTAGAGTATACCTTAGGATGTCTCTACTTGAACTAATGTTAGGTCCCTATTCTCCTATAGTAGAGCCTGCTAGGTTTCTGTATCTATCTCCTTACTAATATAGATGCATATCCTTAGGGCTCCTTAGTTATAGATAATTGGGTAGTATCTTAGGTCTTTAACTGTTACTAGTCTCTTTGTATATAGGTTAAGCTAGGGCTCTTAGATTGCAATAATATAATGTTCTTTTAGGTTTAGTGCTTAAAGGAAGCTCCTCTGTACCTTGTCTTTGCTCTTATTAATATTGTACTATATAATGTTTAGTAATGTTGCAATGTTTATTAGGTTTTATCTATATTATTTCCCTATAAGTTTTCCTTTAGTCTTCCCTTACTTTAGACTAACATTTAACTAAGCTTTGTCTGCCCTGCTTCCTTTCCTATAATATTAAGGTATCTTAGTCTCCCTAGTTGCTAGTAACTCTCTTGTGCTAGTAAGGCCCTAAATGTAAACCTATTATCTTATCTAGACCTCTTTTGTAGCACTTAGCTAGGTTGCTTCTATACCTAGCTGCCCTAGCTTGTTGTATATCTTTTTAGTATATTAATTCTAGCTTCCTTTGCCTTCCTCGCTGCCTATATTCTTACTAGGTATTCCTTCGCCTAAGAGGGGTGTCTTTTAGTATAGTATATATATCTTGCTTCTCCCTTGTGTGCTTTGCATTCTTTAATCTAGTAATCCCCTATATAATAGGAGCAGGTATTAGTTGTCTTTATACACTTAGCTACTAAGTGTCTATAGTGTTGACATTTAAAGTACTATATTATCCTATAGTTGCTTCTGTGTATCTCTATTTCTAATCTCTTATAGTCCTAGAACAACCCCTAGTCTAGCACTATATTAGCTTGCTCTACACTCCCTACCTAGATAATTAGGGAAGACTGCTTCTTAGTC